CAAAGAATTATTTAGTCAAATATCAAATGAATTTTTTGGTTCAGGATGGATTTGGCTTTATATTGATGCAAAAACAAAACGTCTTGTTCTTAATTATACAATTAATCAAGATAATCCGTAAGCAAAAAAAAAACAAAATTTTTATATTAAATAATTATTTTTATTTTATTATTATAGAATTATGTATGATAAAAATCATGTTATTTTATTATGTATTGATCTATGGGAACATGGTTAGTATAGAAATTTTAATTAATAATATTTATAATGTTATACTTTTTTTTGTTTTTTCTTAGCTTATTATCCTGTTTATGAAAATCGTCGTAGTGAATATATTGAAAATTTTTGGCGCATTATTAATTGGCCTTTTATTAATCAATTGTATATTGAAGGTCAAACTAAACGAAGTGATCTTTAATATAGCAGATATTTCTAATCATAGGAAATCATCAGGGATTTTGTTTTTATTTTATTAAGATCTTTTCAAAAATAAAAAGATAAAAGTTTCTGTTTTATTTCTTCGAAATGATCTATTGTCAAAATCATTTCTATAATATCAATGCTAAAATATTAGATATATTAATTTGTTTCTTTTTTGAGTAACTCTCGATAAGAATCTTATAGAAAGCTGAGTTTTTTTACTATTCAAGAAAAACAATTCGAAGCCATCGAAATTTGATTGATCATAGAACTTATCGATAGAAAAAAGTCTCTTCTTTCAATCTCTACTAAGCTTATTCTACTCAAGAGTTATAGAACTTCCGAATTTAGTCAATTGATCTCTGATAAGCTGAAAAATATGTAATTGATTATCTCATGTTAAAAAAAAATCAAAATTTTCTCGAGATAAATTCTTAAGAAAAATTTCAACTAAAATATTAATCAACAATTATTTATATGAAATTTAGTTTATATGTGCTTTCTTGTGATCATTGAAATACTTTAAATCTTACAATGAAAAAAAAAAAAGGTCAATCTTTCTGAACTTTATAAATTAAATTTTATTGTTTGATTTTTCTGTATATATATATATCTTGTGCTAGATAGAAAAACTAATAAAATAATTATAACCTTCGACGAAAGCTTAAATTGTTTTAGAATAATGCTTTTAACATATCATTAAAAATAGTATGCATCACTTAGGAATCTTTTGTTGCTAAATATATCTATTGTGACTATTTCATGATCTAAAGTTCCTATGACAAACTGAATAAAATTAATCAATTTTAATTTGATACTTTTTATCTATTATAGTTGATATATTTGTATATTCATTATTGTCGAGAGACCTAATCGAACATGTTTTTTCTTTTGTTCTATAGACTTATTCCGTAGCAAGCAAAACAATATCATAAGATCTATTTAATCATAGACATTGATGATTAACTATGAAAAATTGTTTTTGGAATATAAATGATATTCATTAACAGATATTTGTCGATGATGATATATATATTGATAAATGGATTTGAAATTAAATTGTACTTGACGAGAAAGAATCATTTATCTCTACTATAATGATACTGTTGAAATATCTTGTGTCATATAGACAATTATTCATTTCTTTATAGATATTATTATCTATCTTGCATCATATCAAGACATATTATGATATGTGATGTCTAGATTAAAATCAAAATTTATAATTAAACTAATTGATAGTTTGTGATGATTAGAAATTTTAAAGTGTTGATTCAACAAATGTACTGATAAAGTATTCTATAATTGATTCATTAGTACGAATATTATTTTGTACTGAGATAATAGTTAAATTCATATATTGAGTTTTTTTTTTCTATTTCGTATTGTCTGTAAATATTTGATTATTGCTATGTAAATCATGATTATTGTTAAAACGAGTTATGAATAATCAATGAATAAGATTAGTTAATCTATAAAATTGAATATGATCACTATATGTTGTTCTTTCTATAATTATTTGTTATTAATGATAAGTTGATGAACTCGAAAATTTTAATTATCGAAATTGTACTTTTTGTTTTTTTTGTCCCCTTATATTGTTTTATTGAAAATAATAATATTAATCATTTTAATTGTTAAAGTTCTATGATCATTTCAATTGAATCACAAAAATTAATTTTTATTCTAAAAATATTTTTTTTTATTTCGAATAGAAAGAAAAATTTTGTTTTCAATCTTTATTATTAAGTAAATAAATTCTTTATTGTAATTTATTCACATGAATAGAACTTAATCATGATTTCAAATTTTTTATAAATCTTGCTCACGATTCACTAAACAAAAGTCAATATAAGTCTTATGTTAATTATAATTATAACATCATAAAATATATCGAACATTCACAAGTATAAATAAAATCTTTCCTTTGCAATTGAAATTTTATCCTTTCCTATGTCTTTTATAACAAGTTTAGTTTTTCTCAGATCTTTACTTTGGTCCGATTTTCAAAGCAACCATCAATATAATTCAAATTACGAGTAATTTATTATTCAACTTCAAGTCTAAATTGAATTTCTACGAGAAAATTCTTCTAATAAAAAGAATGACACTCGATAAAATTTTGCTATTTTTATTTAACTGTATAAAAAGAAAACAGAACATGAAATGTATTAATGATCTACTTGTGGATTTATTCTCGATGGAATAATCATCAGATTATCGTTGAGAGACTTGAAGTACGTCATCAATGTTAAATGATTTACTGTTTAATAATTGATTGTTAATAGTGGCCGAGCGTGGCGTGACTCAAAAGGTTCAGCTTCTATTAGAAATCTTTCAGTCCCTATCCCCCTCAGAAACCTTCGAGCTGCCTCTAGAAATGAGACGATTTTATATAGTAGGCGAAATGAATGCCAGCTTTTCAGTGGCAAATTGGAATTGAACTCTCATTAGTTATTTCTAAATGCACTATGTACACATTTTTCTATAACCCAGCCGTACTTTCCAGTACATATACATAATCGTATCAATTATATGAATTATCTTAAAAAGTTGAATGTTCAATATAAATTTGGAGACTTCAATGAAGTGTCACACTTACAGCTAGCATCGAAAGTAAATGAACACTTGCAGCGTTTGCAAGAACATCTGATATCTGTTTGATCAATTATGAAAAAAAAAATTCTTCGAGCAGGCGTATACGACTGAGGTTTCGCTAATAATTTAGATATGAGTATAGAAACCAAAAACTCGTTATGACTTATTTCATGGAATACTAGATTGGTAACGATAATTTAAAAGTCAAATGTCAATATGAAATTTTGACGTTTAAATTTCAACTTTAAGATGTGAAGCCAATGGAAAGATTTGAATCTTATTGTATATGAAAAGAAAAGTAGAAATTGAATTTTGAATATTTGAACATCCAAAGTAAAACGTTTATTTTTAATTAAATCAAATTCTCAAACTTTAGACACTCCTTTCTTGAAGATATTCGTTTTATGTGTTACATTGCTTACGCTTGATAATGCGACTATTTGAGCAATGTTATTTTCTTTTCTTTTATAAATTTAAAATTTAAAATGTGTGTGTTTTTTTTTGTTTGTATTTCTTGAATGTGTTATAGAAAGAAAAGATGAAGCGAAAAAGCTTATGTTAAATTTTGTTTTTAATGTGTTTGTAGAAGATGGCTTTAATCTTTTGTTTTCAATAATAACTAAATACATAGGAGTAAAGAAAGAATGAATAATAAATTTAAAGAAAATGAAGAGTAAAACTCTTATTTTGTTTGAAGAAATAAAATGTGATGAAAAAATGTTAATGTATTCATTATTGTCTCAGACTATTTTTTGCACAGATATTGTTCTACAAGAAACACCACGATCGAGGGATCAGAATGTAAAGAATGATTGCCTTAAAAATTGTACAAGAAGATCAGAGAGATGAAACTTGTCATGCGAACTCTATCCATACGGATAGCAGAAATTTCTTTCGAATCATCTATTTAAATATTATAAATCATGAGAATATCTCATGAAACCTCTAAATTCAATATTTCAACTCATTTAAATGCACTTACGGTAAAAAATTTATTTTTCTTAAAATCCTGTCAAGATACCAAATACAGTTGATTCAACTTCACCCTCATATTTGTTTATTTGTGAAAATTTTGAGTTGAATTTCTAAACTTAACTTCTTACAATCATCTGGGAGGATCGCAACAATGTCATAAAATCACTTATAAATAGTAAAAAGTATCAGATGCAACGTAATACAGATGAAAAATCAATTATAAGATATTCATAATTTATTAGTATCTCTATAATATAGACAATATTTGATCTAAAAGTGTGTTTTACACTTAGGATGTTTATTTAGTACATAGCTTATCTAAGTATGTTCTGAGTCGGTACTCCTTTGGATCTTTTTCTTCCTTTGGTGCATTGGTCTCTGGTTGGTCAGCATCTTCAAATCGATCAATTTCTTTGCCATCACGGAAGAAAATAAATGCCGGTGTTTCTTTAATTTTGAATCCAGTCTTGAAATCGTCTTCGTCGGGACATTTGTAACAATGGAGATCAAACTTATGTTCGTAAATCTGTCGACACCAGTTAAGTTTATGCTCCACACTATTTTCTTCGGGATATCTATTGTTATAAAGTTCAAATGAAATATTTGTGATTATAAATATAACTCTTACCTCTCATTGAATAAAATTACAACAAGTTTGTGTTCCTGAATCTTTGCTTTCGCTTCTGCTACTGTGGTAAGTTCTTTTGACTTAGCGAAAGCCATTCTATATCTTTGAGTCATGGTGTTATAATCAAAGATCAGACACTATTGAAGATGTTCTTTCACGATTAAATTAAAAAAAACAACAACTCAATGAAACTTATAAAATGATGAAAGAAAAATCTCGACGGAAAAATCTCTATGACTGAGTTGTCAAGGTTGCTGTTGTTTTTTATGTTACACAATGAAAGAAAGAAAAAAAAAAAATGATTTTTACTTTTTACAGATCTGACATTCATTTATTTTTTTTTTACAGAACGGAAAGTTTATATAATCACGTCTTATAGATGTCAGCGAATCGTGTGGGTGCTATAAATAACAATCAAACATCGACATGTATCGACATCGAAAACAATAAAACAACATGGAAGGATCTTATTGATAAAGAAGCCGAATCCAAGGAGTTGCTTGATGCAACATGTCACGCTTACTCGACTAATGACAGGGAAATTGATGATCAAACAAAAGTTTGTCCTTGTGGTCGATTGGCGCGTTGCCACAGTTTTGATGGTTCGGTAAAAAGGCAGCATGTCAATGCTACCTTTAGTCGAAAATTTGTCATTAAACAGAAACCAACCGTATATGGCCAGCTTAACAATGGGGCCCAAGTAAGTAAATGGTACAAATTATGACATGTTATTGTGAAGCACGGTTTAAAATGAATGTGTCAGCATAGAACAAGATTTGCAAATCACTTTCTGCGGCTTCCCATGCCATCGCCATAGATCGTAACAAATATATTTGTAGACTATATTGAAGACCATGGTATGCATGTACAACTCGGTGCCTTCTATTAGTTTCCCCTAAAATTCATTTTTTTTTGCACCTTATTGGAAAGGGGTCATAATGGATTTACTTATTCCTGTCACTACCGATTGGCTTCTTATTCGATATTCCGCACGCTTGCCAATATAGTATGAACACAAAGAATCATTTTAGTTCAACTTACGGATTTTCATATAACTTACTGTCAGTTCCCTTCTCGATCAGTCGTTGCGCGGGTTTCTACACTCGCAGCGATGATATGTGCTTTCTGTCTGCCTCTCTTTCAGTCAGCCCTTTCATAGTATTCACATCAAGGGATGACGCATAAATGTGTTAACTTACTACTCCACATTTCAGTGGTCGAAGCTGAATTGGTCAGGACACAATTGCTTTTTTTTATGCTATCGTTTTAGTTTCGAAAATCCATTTGTTTTCGAAAAATCATTCACTTTTGCCGAGCAGTCACCCTATTACGAAATATTCAACATTGCGGAATCAGTTCCATCTAATTCCGAGAACTCAATCATCATTTAGCATAAGAGATCTATTCCACATCGATCGAGTTCTACTAATTATCCGAATACCCGGAACTGAGTTCCGACGGCATTACTAGTAATCCCCAGAAATTCCTTCCAATTCCGGAATTCCCTACCGCCATTACTTACTTATCCTAGGCATTCATCTTCAACCACACCATCATGCGTGAGGGTGAGGGCGAGAAGTACTTCCCGTGTGGAAATCCTGGAATTCAGTCGAGACGAAATTACAGGGAATTCCTAGGAATTCCGAGTAATTCCGGAATTAGAAGGAGCTCCCGAAATTTCGGAATCACAAGAAATGTTCAGGAATTCCTTCTAATTCCGTCTCGACTCAATTCCCGAAATTCCGTACCGGAATTACTTACTTATCCTAGGGATTAATCTTCAACCACAGCATGATGCGCGAGGGCGAGAAGTAATTCCGTTTCAACACAATTTCCGGAATTCCGGAAATTGAGAAAACTCGATCGATATCGATTGGGCTTGTTCTGTGAAATCATAATCGAGCTCCCGGAATTGGACGGAATTGGTTCCGGGAGTGAAACTGACTCCGCAACGTTCAACATCGCGGAATAGGATGCATTCTTCTTTTGTCAGAAATCTCTATTAGTCATCAAATATGTTAAACGCTTACTATTGATAACAGTAGTTAAACCATGTTTCACATTGTAATTCCGTTAGGACTATGCTAATAACATTTTACTTGTAATTAGTTTATTCGATTCAACGCAGATAAATCAAATACGTTTAAAACATTATGCCAAATTATTAAGAAACATGTCGGCGAAGAGCCTGTTTTGCTTATCAGTTGTTTTGGCGGAGCTGAGTACTTTACAATGACTGATAAATTGGAGAAAGAATTCATGAATGGTATTTCACAAGCGGCAGTCACAAAAGGTATATTCTAATTTGTAATTCGAAAAAATCATTTTAATCTATGTTGATCATATAGGTGTGTGGCTGCTAACAACTGGCTTGAACAAGGGCGTATCGAAACTAATAGGAGAGAGTGTTCATCGTTATAGATTGTTGAACAAAGACTCATGTAAACCAACTATTATCGGACTGACTGGCTGGGGAACAGTAACTGAACATACGCGAAACGTGCTCAACTGGCAGGTAGACTTTATGATTATTTGAATGTTGTCATTAATCATATCGTTTATATTTTTTTCAGGCTTCACGTAACATACTATATACTACTTTCGCATATTTTGGTGGAAAAAAAGCGGCGATAACATTGAATTATGATGAAGAAAAAACACTTGACAAAAATCATTCACATTTTCTTCTACTAAACAACGGTCGTGTAAATGGTTATATTGATGATTGTCCTCGTTCTGATTTTGTCATGAGTGCATGTGCTGAATTTAAATGCCAAGCTATAACAATCATTGTTGAAGGTGGTTTCAATACCTTAGAAGTAATTAAACATGATTTAATGGCTGAGCGACCAGTAATCATCATTCATGGTAGTGGCCGTTTGGCAAACGTTCTTGGCATTTTACTTGAAAACTCAAGCAATGAAATTATACCTGAGTAAGAAGCATCTTTATGCAAAATTTTTGCTAAATATTTCAAAGAATCTTTTATTTAGAGAAAATGATGTAAACGAACAACTTGAATCAGTGTTTCACGAACATTGGTCTAAGCGTGAAAAAGATAAGGACAGCATCATTAAAACCATCAGAGAATTATTTGAGCCGGCTTGTCGGAAGTATTTGAGTGTATTTTATCTCGAACGTGATCCAAGTCTTACTGATATTATTTTTAAAGCAGTCGATGCTGGTAAAATTATTTGTATACTCTTCGTACATATAGTATCAAAAGATAATTTATTTTCTAGCTAATGCTGATGAAGAACAACAGAAAAATTTTCTCAAATTGGCTATCAGCTGGAATTATGCAGATAGAGCAGAATCTATGCCTAAACATCTCGAAGTATGTATATTTTGTCTTTTCATATTGGAATAGTTAAATCATTAAAAAAAAAGAATTACAAGATGTTTCTTGCAGAATATCAATGTCTCTTGATTTTGTTAAAATAATTATTATATTTTCTTTTAGGATGCTCCAGAACTCTATCCTAGCTTATTTGAACAAGCACTCAAAGAAAATCGACCAGTATTTGTTGATTATTTTCTAAGACGAAATCATAATCCTCTTCAAACAACTGAATTTCTTAAATATTCTGAAAGTTTGAAAAAGATGATGATTAATGGCAATGAATCCGATTCAGATCGTACAATAAGTCAGCCAAGAAAAAAAGCAATGGAAAATGAAACAAACAACGACGACGAAATACGAGTACAATGCGCTCTCAAATTTATCATTGAGGAACTCTACAAACCTATTCAGACACATTTGGACGTGAGATATATTCCTTATTTATAAAATTCTCTCATCAAGGTTATAGGTTATTTTTCTAGTGTTGGAGTATTCCAAAGACATTAAAGGAACTTGATGCAACTTATGCACAATTAATTGGACCATTCGTTAATTCATTCTATTTCGAGCGAAATAAACGTAGTCAATTCTTGCAAGATATCGAATCATTTGTCTATCGTGGTCATATCAATGACATTGACAAAATTTCATCGATCGAAAACAGTAGTGAGAAATCGCACGCAACTTATACGTGCAATAAATCATTTAGTAGTCAAGAAATGTTACGTGAACTTTTCCTATGGAGTGTATATGTAGGCTATGCTGATATTGCTTTTGTCCTTTTGTTACAACTTGAATCACGAATAAGCGCAGCATTGATTGCAGCTGGCATGGCTCAACATTTATCTTTATTTGCTAGTACTTTGGATATACGACATACATATAATGAACAGGCAAAAAACTATGAAGTATATGCTACAGATTGTATTAATGCCTGCTATAAACATAATGAACGGCTCGCTTGTCAACTTCTTTTACGTGAAAATCCACTTTTTGGAAATGTTACCTGTATGCAAGTGAGTCATATAGAATTTTTCGAATAAAAATGTACTATGACTTTTAATGAAGGTAGCCATTGGATCACGTATCATAAAATTTATCAATACTGACTGTTTCAATCAAGTTTTAAATCGACAATGGTTTGGTCAACTACCAGGCAATGCAACTGAATCATCAACAGCAAAATTAAAATTTTTACTCAGTTTAATATCATTTGGACTAATTAAACATCGTCTTAGGAAATATCGTGTAGAAGATATTGTAGAACAGACTTCACAAGAAACAGTAATCTTATTTCTTAAATTTAACAATATCTTATCAATATAACTTGATGTTTGTTACTCTAGCTTCAGAAGAATGATGATACTGAAAAGGATAGTTTTCACAGGTATTTTATTGTCTTTTTCATTGAATACATATTAACATATATGGAAAATACATTATAGATGGAAAGGAATCGAAGATCAAAATATCAAATCTCCTAATTACTTTCAAAAAGTGTTTTATTTTCATTCAGCTCCTGTTGTCAAGATGTGCTATGATTTTGTGAGTTATTGATGTGTATTATCTTGTAGTATAAAATATGTTCATATTTTTTTCTAGGCGATCTATATATGGTTTTTACTCGTTTTTAGTTATATGATGTTATTTGATATGAACATAGAAGAAAATCCAGTTCATTGGACAAAAGTTTATTTGATTATTACTGTGTCAGCAATGCTTATTGAAGATTTTCGCAAAGTAAGTGAGACATCCACTATAATCTTATTTTTTTTTTTAGTATGAATATAGCTAGCTGTTGATTATTACACACGAATGTTGGAAAGATGGCATCGATCAGGCATATGGATGATTCCCATATATGCAATGCCCTATATTCTTTTTTATATTGGCATAATACTTTATTTGCGATCAGAAAATCGATCAGATCTTTTTACAGTTGCAAGGTAAACGATTTATTTAACAATTTAGTTGTGCTTGTGTTAAAATATGATTGTTCATAGAATTATTCTAGCCATTGATCTTGAACTTTGGTATCTCTTCTCATTACGTTTTGTTAGCGCTATTAAACTATTAGGACCAAAACTTTTCATGATTCGAAATATGGTGAGTGATTTATGTTTAAATATTTTTTTTTTAAACATATACATAATTATTCTTGTAGTTACGCTATTTAACTGCTTTCATTTACATAATTTTTGTTTGCATTGCTGCTTATGGTGTAGTATCTCGTGCTCTAACTATGTATTCAGAATTAGAATTTACAGCTAAAAGTGTTTTTTCGGCTGTATTCTATCAACCTTATTGGTTCTTGTATTCAATTGTTGATCAAGAAATATCCAATCTTGATGGTAAATGAATTTTTTCTTTGTCATACATCTAATATTATGTTTCATATAGATATTATATCTAACGCAACTTCATCAGAAGCAGTAGCAGAAGCCACTGTAACTCATGTACTACTGGCTTGTCACATGCTTTTTATTAATATTTTGATTCTCAATTTACTTATTGCTGTATTTAAGTATGTTTTTATATTTGAACATTCGATCAATTACTATTTTAATTGTATATTTAGTTTTTCAATTAATGAAGTTCAAGATAAGAATGAATATATTTGGCGTTATCAACGATATGAATTAATTCGTGAATATTTTGAAAAACCACTATTTGCTTTTCCACCTCTTTCACTATTTGCTTATATTGGATGGTTTATAAGTGCAGTTATATTTCAGGGGACAACTTTTCGAGTGTTTAGTGAGTATAATGATTAAATTTATTCATAATAAATATGTTCTATGTGACGAATAGAGAAACTTTCTATGAAAACATCTCTTCAATAGAATGTTCAAGTTTCTTGAGCAATGAATCATTTCACATTATATTAGAAACCTCATCTGTATATATTGGCAATTAGACTAAGACTTTTGCACATAAAGCCTTGAATATCAGCAATGCTAAGGATTTTTTTTCTTCGAAAACAGAATCCTTCTGGCATCTTCTTATAGAAATCTTTGAATAGATTATGAAAAACAATTCTTTTCTCTTTTCTTTATGTCCGTTAATGGGAAATGGTTGTAATATTTTTTTTCCTTGAGTTTCATTGAACTTTCTGGCATCATTTCATGAAATTGAAGAAAAAAATCTTTTTAAAAATTGGTCTAATTTAATCAATTCTGTTAAGAACGTCGCTGCAACACTCCTGAGATGGATATTCGATGGACAGAATTTGAGAACGCTGCTACCTATGATTATGCACGTAAATTTGTCGAAGACAATTATCGACCAAAAGCCGAACATGAAACTTCAAAGTAAGTTACGATATCTTATTTTTACTTCATAATGAATCTTATATTATTGATAGACTAGAAGCACAAATAAATACAATGAAAAACACTATTGATAGATTACAAACACAAGTAGATGAATTGAGTCGTAACAACGAACAAGCTCGAGCTGAAACCAATGCACAAACAAATCGAGTATGTTCTTGTGTTTATTCATATTTTGTCATAACTTATCATTATTACGGTATTTCTTTTGACTAGATGATGATGTGTATGAATTGGATAATGACAGCAATGGCTCGTGTCAGAATGTCTAATATTCCACTACCAACATTGGAAAATCCAACAAACAGTAGTGCATAAGAACGATTTCATAATAAGTGAATTTAATATCTCTTTGTATATCTTGCCATGTTATTGTATAGTGTGATATTGGCTTGCTAAATGGTGCTTTTATAATTTCATTTTTTTGTCTTTTGTAATCCTAAATAAAACTATACTATTGATGGCAAAGATATAAAAAGTATTCATGTCGCCTGAAATTCTTAAGTACCATATAATTCTTATCAGATTTTTCGATTCGACTATGTATGTAAGTTTTCGATAAACTGTTCTAAAAAGTTTAGGAAAAACAATATTTTTCGACAGATCATTCAAATCTTCACTAGTTTTTATTCTCCTTCAGAAGCTGAAAAGGATCATTTTATCTTTTGTAGAACACAAAAGGATACAAATTATGCTTCATGTGAAGAAGCTGAAGGCATGTGTCGTCTCTTGTTATTAATTGAAATAATTGCACCGGTGCAGTTGAAAGTCTGTTCCAAATATGATCTAATGCAATGAACATCATGGTGATAAATACCATTGAGATACACATGTCTATTGTCAGATATCTGTGGTCCAGTAATTTAAAATTTAGTTGAGTTTGGAACAAACTGAAATCAAGCGTAAGAAATCAAAGAATTTCATTGTATTTCAATGAATGAACGCTTTGATTACGAGATTCAAAGAATTAAGGAATCTGAATTGTTTCTGTGAATTCCGTTCGAAATAAAAATACATCTAAATTTGATTCAATGAATTATTCTTGTTTTTTTTCCAATGGTGGGACACATTTACAATTGGTCAGAACGAGTTTTGAAATCAATAGATGCTCAAATGTGAATGATTTACTTTTCTTTAGTTTTTCTTTCCCGATTATCGGACTTGGAGATATTTCATATGAACAATTATTGTTTGATAATGTAATTGAATTACTAGTCTTTGTGTTTTAGATGGTTGATAAATGCAGTAATGCAAGCATGATAGAGTTGACATAGAAGTGATTGTTCATTGATAATATGACTTTTACTATTGTCTATATTTCTTGATCAGTGATGACGAATAACGACAAATCACGACAACTAAATTCTCATGTCAACTATGGCAATAATATCTACGAGTGTTATTGCGAATAAATCGTATTTAGGATGTTTTCCACGCATTACAGCAGTTGTTGCTTTAATTCTTGACTGAAAATGAAACTAATGTCCGCGCCAGAATTAAAGAGGGGTTAGTGTAAATTGAATAACTCAACAAGGGCAACAGCTAGGGACTTGCGGTTTTCACCACTCGAAAGAGGAAACCGGGGGACGTATTTTTTCGCGATATTGTTTCGGACGAAATTGCTTTGGACACTGTCATTTCTGAGAAGACGTACAAATGATATGCCAATACAATGAATTTTTATTTTGATATTCGCATTAGATAGAGGGACTTCAGATCTATAGTTCAAGATACAATGCAAATGGTTCTCTTATTATATTCTAACGTTGAGCAAATGGAATCATGTATTTACATGCGCAAATAATAGAGAATTTTGCTGATTTTTTGCTAAGTTTTCGCACTTTTTATCATAATAGCTTGACATTTCGATGAAAATGAAATGAAAAGTAAGAAAGCGCATTGTATTTAGAACTATAGATCTGAAGTCCCTCTATCTAATGCGAATATCAAAATAAAAATTCATTGTATTGGCATATCATTTGTACGTCTTCTCAGAAATGACAGTGTCCAAAGCAATTTCGTCCGAAACAATATCGCGAAAAAATACGTCCCCCGGTTTCCTCTTTCGAGTGGTGAAAACCGCAAGTCCCTAGCTGTTGCCCTTGTTGAGTTATTCAATTTACACTAACCCCTCTTTAATTCTGGCGCGGACATTAGTAACACAAACAGAATTTATGATTAATTCGTCGCTTAGAACTATCTTCTTCTTATTTAAAATGCATTCTAAAGATCAAAATATAATCTCAACATATTGACATTATTCTAGAGTTTTTTTTCTCTTTCTAATGAGATATCTTACAAAATCTGTTCTTAGTCACATGACTACGTTTGCTTCTTATTTAAAAAATCAACTTTTGAAAATATATTTTCGACAAGAATATCGAAATAAGAAAATATTGTGATGAAGATCTTAGCAGGCAAGTATTCAACTGTGATAATTATTGATTCAGCCATAATCGGAATAAATTTGAAATAATTGAACACATTTGAATCTTGGAAATATGCGCTATATGACAAAAATATCATAGAGAAAGATTTGTCAGTCAATCTGAACGTGAAAAGAATGCTGTCACATGCAACTGCATATTTAATTTTAAAGGGAAGGTATTTATTAAGCGATGACATCGATTCTTATTTTCTCGATGGTCAACTCAAATTTCATGAACCGATTGTAATTGGCAATAAGACCATTAGATCTCATATAAGCTGTGTATGACTGACTCAAAACTTGATATTACCTACACTTTTATAGGCTCATGCTATGCAATTTTACTGTGAAAAATATTCCTATCGTCTTCGACTCTTTCGTTTTAAATTTTGTATCAAACGAATGTTCTTTTTTTTCTATCGAATATCATGTAACTATGACTACATTGCCTCTCTATTATGTTTTGAAAGCACTACACTATAAAACGAAAAGTGTCAAATAACAAATAATTGACAGGATTTATTAGTCTCATAAATCCTTGTTCGATCTTAAACATAATTAAACTTTCAAGCGTTTACAAAAAGCAAATAATAAACTTATAAAAGGTTTCTTAATCTACACTTTTATTAACAGTATACAAAATGATACTATTGCATGGAGTTTGAATTTGTGGGAAAGGCGTTTTAGTCTTATACATAAAGTTCATGAGTGTCAAAAGCTGTCTCTTTTGCACTAATATTTGACCACTTTGAGACAGAATGATTAGATTTCTTATCAAAACAAATCATATATTTTGAATCAGCAGAGAAAACTGAATTGAGCTGTATGTATTCGAAAATGCTTCGGCAACTTATAGTTTCGTCAAATATTTCAGCCCTGGTCCTCTTCATAGATGTGGGTGTGAATGTGTGGACTTAAGTGTCAATCTTCACGTCACTCACACTCTAGTTAACAGTATTCGACATGGATCAAGCTACATGTTTGAATACCGTCCAAACAAAATTCATTATATTATTTGTCATGAAATAATTCCATCAGATTGAATAGAACTTTTGATGGCAGAAGAAAAAATAGTTTTATACATTATTCTGTTGTCTTTCAACATTTTCGACTGGTTCAGAGAGCACAGCAATAGAAACAAAATGTTTTATGTTAAATGAGAATGCACAAGAAAATCACAGAAATTTGCTTTTCTATAACTGTGTATATTAAATTGAAGAAAACAATTGAGAAATTGAATTTTTTACAAAATAAAACTGGTTAGCGTTGTACATATTTACTAGTACTAACCAGCTTGCCTGTAAATACCAATTTAATAACTCTACTTGTATGATAGATGACAATGTTAGTGTTTACTCTCAATGATTTTGGAATATGTCGCCGAAATTATGATGCAGGTACTTGAGATTTCTTTTTCAAAAGATAACTCGTACAATTCTCTACGAAACCTTATGACAAGTACTGCTCCAACAGATAACTGTGAAATATCGAAGTGTTTTTCTGAAGTGCATAACAAGAATGATCGATGATTTCAACTCATGTTTCGTAGAAAATCGACCGTTGGAGCATCGAAACAGTACCGAAACAACATCTTTTACGTACAATTGCATAGAACACATCCGAAAACACAGAAAACTTGCATTAGAATTGGATTAATTACCTATGATTTTCTAGAAAAAATCGAATGCTTCATTTCTTAAAAATGTACCATTTTTTAGCACAATAGTGTTGATCAGATATAATTCAGTAGTTATTTGTTGGAACAGTTCTTTCGATAAGATTTTGAAGAGAAAAAACTTAAATATCTGCGGCGTAATTTCAGCGAGATATTCTAAAAACATTGGGAGATACATTCGTTCTAGTACACCCGTTACTATTCACAATAGGGTATCAGTTAATTTCAAAATCATTTGAATGAATTTAAAGGTAAGAAGAAAAAAAACAATCTGATTTAAATATGTGACAATGAACAAATTATTGTCAATGGAAAATTTCCAAAGAGTAGGTCATGAATCTTTCTATATTCAGAAAAGTTGACAAGAAATGAATTGAGAGTGAAATCGAATGGTTGAAAGTTGAATTCACACTCCCGACTTAGACAAACGAAAACCAAAGGTAAATAAAGGCGTTAGAATTCTTTCTATCAATATGAATACATTCTTGCAATCATTATCTTGTTTATAAATGCAAAGATCGTTTTCATCATGGCAACAAAAGGAGCCGATTATTGTTTTGATAGACATGATCCACTGAACAATTATTAAGACTCGGCTGCTTTCCTATAAATTATTCATTGTATTATTCATCCCGCAGACAACATTCATTAAATATCTCCAATAGAAAAACTAAGCCGATGACTACCGAAAATCCTGAATGAATATATTATTCATAAACAAATAAGAAACATATAGTCATCTTCTTTTTAAAAGAGTCAAGGAACGAGTGTACAAATGTTTATCTATCTTAATTCGGAACTTTTGAATGAAGTGAAAAATTCAAAATATGATTAATTTATTATTTATTTTTATGTCATTCAGCAAATTACAACGAATACTAAAAGCATAGATCGAGAGTTAAATTTAAACAAACAAAGTTAGTTATTGAACACATCTACAATATTAGACGTATAGTTTTATTCGCGTTTTATAACATCAATAGATACTCTATTCAAGGTTCTAAATGGAAAAACATCGAATTTCAGGATTCTGTTCAATAAGAAATTAAAGAGATAGATGTTCTTTAACGAATGAAAATATTATTGAAATACAAGCATTGTCAGACAGATGCCAACAAAGTAGAGTAGCCAGCCAGATCCATATCTTGAAATAGAACATGCTGCCAGCGGATTTGTTTCCTGTAACGATGGATTTTCATACGCACTTGGAAACCATGTGTGAGCGACGCCATCAAGAATAATTGCAATACCATTAACCAGTGCCAGTGCGGCTAGACTTTCTTGCGAATTAAGAGAAAACATTACTTCACTAATACGTACTAGAATGTAAACAGCTGGTACTGTAGCAGCCATCGTAAGACTTCGACTTAAATTGGTACGAAACATATATGGTCCTCCGTGACGAATTGTTATCACACCCATACCCCAAAGAATGGAGCCATAGCCCACTAGTCCGCATGTTTTTGCTAAGCTTAAGCTGTGTAAAGCCATCTGCTCAAATAACCGAAATCGAAGTTACAAAATGAATGCTGTCGTATTTTTGGTGACTATCTATAAGTATTATCATTATAAAATAGGATATTTGATAATATTTATCTTCAAATAAATGATGTCATAGAATAAGAATATTTGACAGAGAGAGCAAAAGAGTATATTTGCTATTATTTTATCGAGTATTCTATCTCATATGTCATCAATAGCGTCACAGTATTTATTCAGAAGCAAGAGTCATCACATTATATATTCCTCTGCACTATCACTCATACAAATAAACATGAGTTCTTATTAGAATGAGAATAATCGAAATGAAAATCTAATCGAAAAAGTTTTACTTTATAGTTTTGAAAACTCTATCTAACTTTGTTTCAGACATATTAATCTCAACAAAATGTTGAGCATCTCATGCAAATATACTCATGAAATATTTTGATTCATTCGATCCATATATATAAATCGTACAATTTACGAACGATGGTATGTTTCATGATCACTCTTCTCTACTCATAAAATGGAATAAATGAAGAATGTTATATATTCAACAGGTTTTTGAAAACTTTCACAATTCATTGTAATACTTGTCATTGAGTTGAAGATCTTACGTTTCTAATATTCTCTATTACAAGTTTGCGCTACTGTGGACAGAAAGAAAAAAACATACTCTTGCCGCACAAACCCCATATAAAACATACAGAAGAAAAATAACAACAAAGTCAAGCTTCAAGTCTAACGCAAGAAAGAAAAAGAATTGGTTAGTTTTCCAAATGGAGCAATCAAACACATTATGGATTTAGTTTAGTTGAGAAAGATATTAAAAAAAGATGTCACTCATATTACATGTCTATCAATGGAACGCAACATGACTCTTGTACACACCAATACTACGATTTAGGACAGACTATAGATATGCGAAAAATTGCTAGGATAATGTCATCATAGATCTATAGATGATGCTTCAAGACAGTATTATGAATGAACAGGAGTTAATATTTTTACAATATCTTTGTTTTTTACCGCATGTCACATGCTTTAATTCTTCTGTATATTCGACAACAATGGGTTTGAAACTGTATTTGATCTTTGCAGAAGCTCAATCTTCAAGAATAAATAAAACTTCTTGGGTATTAAATGATTTTGTGTTCAAAAGACATCTAAAATAATTGTATTCGAAATCGTAAAAATGTTATTTCATACCATGCAATTACATTTTCGTATATATTCGAAAATTATATCATGCAAAAGTGCCACAACTAAATGAAGGCAAAGTTTCAATAAAATGCAATCATAGAGTTCATTCTGTTTAAAGATTTGATTAAGTTAATGAAATTTCCAATAACATTTCCACGAGATAGTCAATTGACAGCACTTGTATCTAGCATTCAAATATAAACTGAAACATGATGAGATATGTACATGGACAGTGCAACTATGAATATTACTTTTCTTTCCTATATCTGACATATGTTGAACTGTTTTACTGAAATCTTGGTAAATCATAAGAACAGATTATCGAAAAAAAAACAAGTTTCTTATAATGAACTAGAAATCGTTATCGAAATATATAATAAGAGCTTAGTAAAATAAATGTATATTAGTTTCATAATAATCAAAACAAAAATATCGCAATTCCCATTGAAAATTAGAACTATTTTCTTAAAAACTAATATCTATAAGAAACATCAATTGTAGGGTGGGCTTCTTTTTCTTGGAATTTCAAGAAACTCGCTGCATTTCGAAGAACTTAGTTACAGTTCCTTCTCAAACATTATATGAGATAATAAAAGCAATCGAAATAGTCTTGATCGAGTGGTTCAATGTCCATTGGCGATAAAGACTTATCATACAGTAGATTTTTGCTAGAAAAAAATATGCTTTTAATTTCACAGCTTAGACTACAGTAGATTAGAATGCTATCACTTTAATAATAA